ATATTATAATTACGGCCTTGCACTACATAACATCACAGCGTGCGAGATTCAGAGCCGTTTGTGGGTGATTTGATCAACGGGGGGGGAGGGGGGGGGTCATGCACAGCGAGCTGCTGCAGGTGGCGACTGTGAGCCGCTTAACTGCGCTGCACCATCAGTGGGGGTAGCAGCCGGTCCGTGGGGACATCGCACGGTGCACCAAACTAAACCTACCAGCTTTAAACAAAATAAATATTTCACCAAGGTGTAAGGCCCACTGTTGCTATACGGCTCTTGTTTTACAGAAGCGACCCGGCTCCACAATTTGATGGCTCAACGAAGTGTCGGCTCATCGTCGTCGTCGTGTGGAAATGTTTAGCGGCCAAATTCTCTTTAAACGCGTGATGTTGATCCTAAAGGGAGGAGGGAAAAAGCGGAAGACCTGGAGAAAAATCCACGGGGAGAGAGAGATAGAGCGAGAGACGCGCAAACTCCAAATGTACAGCTGGCGTCAGGGTCGGGATCCAACACACAACCTCCTGCATACCAGGCGAGAGAGTGGACATCCTCGCCGCCGTGGCACACCAACTCACAGATACAGCCAGCCGCCACCACGGGGCTACGAGGCTGCACAAGCTCTAACTCACGTCTCTGGCCTTGCTATACGCTGTGCAGAAGGGTCCTTTCCCAGAAACGTCGCCTATTCTACATGTTAGGTTAACACGAGGCTTTCGCGACCAATACTACCCATGATGCAGGCTTTTCTTGGGTTAGATCGCGTAAATATGTAAATGTGTCGTTAAACTCGACACAGCAAATTCGTAAGGTTTGTCACGTAAACAGAACGTGCCAATTCGTCACTAGTACAGCAACACCGGTGTGTTGGAGAGCAAAGCCACAACATTTACAATCTGAGTACGACGTTTCGCCAGTGATTACAACTAGCTTCATCAGGCGACAGCCAGATGAAACTAGATGTAACCCAACCGGCAATGGATACCCGTTGTCATTTATATTAAATTCATTAATCTCCCCCCACCACTTCGCCCAAGAAGAGCTCACAAATAACGTCATCACATCTACCCCTCTATTTAAGGAACGAAACAGGAGCATGTATCCACAAATCTGGCTGGCGCCTGATTAAGCTAGTTGTAATCACTGGCGAAACGTCGTACTCAGATTGTAAATGTTGTGGCTTTGCTCTCCAACACACCAGTGATGTTGTACTCGTGACGAATTGGCACCTTCTGTTGACGTAACAAACCTTACTGATCGGCTGTGTCGCGTGGTGGCGGGTTTAACGACACATTTGTATATTTACGCGATCTAACGCCCCCCCCCCCCCCCCCCCACAAAAAAACCTGTAGTATTCAATAAGTTGTTTTCCTTTCAAGGCCACGCAGTGTTATTGACGAGATGTGTGCCACGGCAGACGCGTCGGATGGTGTGCGTAACGGTCAATGGCTCTTTATGATTCGTGTCGGTTTGTGATTGCTATGGGTGTAACCCCTCTCTTAGACCACTAGTGGCCGCTACACTCCTCGCAGTGCATTCAAACGAGTATACACTCGTCGTTAAATCGAATTGTGAGGTTGTTCCGAGTGAAGTCACACAAATACAAAGATCCCCCGTATAGCCGACACGGACTGCTGGGGCAAGTGCTGGTAGCGATCACCCATGAACGGCACACGAAGGGGTGGGTGGGCCAGCACACCGCCCGGGTTCGTCTTCCTCGTGGCGCTGTTTACACATCGCACCAGGTACTAATTTCAGGCTGAGTCGACCTAGGAGATGCCCAGGACCGGTTCGAATAATCTAGAATGGTGTTGGCCCGAGAGCGGGGTTCGAACTCTGGCGGCCGGGTTCGTAGTGTAGCGCGCTAACCGCTACCACCATCACCGCCACCACCGCCACCGCCGCCACACGCACCACACGGCACTCTTACAATAACCTTTGGTTCTCTGACAAATAAACACGCGCACTCGCTTAGGCAGTAATTCACTTCGCTCACCCCACTGCTTCACACATTTAAACGAGTGGCTATAAACACGTGTAACGAGAGCCAATGTTTGTTTCGCACTGCATCAATCTGTCCGCGGGCCAGGCAGAGAGCCCCTTTTGCCTGCAGTGTATGTGTGTAACAAAAAGGCAGCAGACATCCAACTGGCTGCGGCCGTGCTGATGAAGCTCAAAGGTTGTCTAAACCGACCCCAGGGGCTTTGTCGCTCACAACAACATTGGAACCATTTTGGTGGTTCAGAAGGCCCCGAAAAATTGGCCGATGGACTACGACGTTCAGCTCTCTTTGTTGGCGATGGTTGCGATGGCAGAGCCCTTTTGTTGTCGTCACGTGCTGCAAAAGCACACGCACGCGGACGACGCTTTGTGTCGATCCACTGCTGGATGAGTGCCCGACCAAGCGCCTTCGCGGGGTCTCGAGGATTTTTCTCCCCGGTAACTTGCCCAGTTTCCTGCGATGTGAAAAAAAAAGCCAAGCGCTCTTTTACATTAAATTTTACGTAAAATGTTGCATTCAATTTTACGAAACATTCCAAGGTGACGCACGAACCTCCTAAAAAAAAGGAAGTCTTGAGCCTTCGGTGAGTCTTCCTCCTGGGTAAATCATTGCCATCAATTGGTTTGGTTTATAATCGACACAACACGTGGGCCCCTCTCGTTCACGTGCGTGTGTGGGGGGGGGGGGCATACGAAGTGCCGATGAGAGAGAGGAGGGGGGGTATAAGAGGGAGCCTTGTTTTTGTGATGGCACGTGGGTACACACAGAGGTGCCCCGCACCTGAGTTGGCCACCTGGTTCGGCCACCAGCCTGAAGCAAAGTCCGTCGTGGGGCAACGGCGAAGCACTGGGAACGGTGCCCCAAAACGACCTCCTGCAGACCCGAGACGGCTGCTTGACCGTGCCACGTCATTAGCGGCCATGCCCAATTAAATAACCGATCTTGCACCCACCACGCAATACGGATTTACGGGATTTGCATTCATACGGCGAAGCTTAAATGCTTCGGCAAACTCAAAGCGCCCTTACATAACCTCTTGCCGTGACCGTTCAGTAGGCCTGTGGGCAGCCTAGCCAAGGGGGGACCCGACCACAAGTGGGCAGCTGTCCCTGTGCGGCGCACACAGACCGTGGGTCCATGAGTATATCCCAGCACGCGGCCACCATGCACCACTTGCGCAGTGAGCATGCCCAACCACGCGATGACTATGTCCCCATCAAGGTGACCCGTCACCTCAGCGACAGGGTGACCACACCTGAAAGCGCGCCCGTACGCCTCACGCGCGTGAAACCTGACCTCTCCGGCATGGACGGGGTGGGGACCCCGTCCATTTCGCCACGAGCCTCTGCGTCGCACGAGAACTCTCCCCGCCTCTCCCACCACAACCACCGCAACCACCCCCCCCCCCCCCGAAAATTGAACGCGAGATCCAAATGAAGGGGTGGATCAGTCTGGTGTCCCACTGGCTCCCGCGAGACGGTGGGTGGGTGGTGGTGGGGGGGCGAGAGCCAGATGATGGAGGGCACCCCCCCTCACCTCGCCTCATCCTCCACTTCCCCACGCCAAATCTCTGCGCGACTGTCCAGGGAGCTCCACCGAGGCGGGGTTGCCACGCGTGATGATGGAACTCGCCCTGCCCGCGCCGTCTCGCCACGTCCCTGACCTGCACCCCCTCCGCGTCGTCTCGCGTCGCCTCGTTGTTGTCCGCCGAGAGTGAAAATGTCTTTCGTGTCACGCTGGCCAAAAATAGCCGCCGATGGTCTTTTCACGCCAAATTGCCGAGAAAGAATGATTTGACGCGCAAGCCACCCCGACCACCGCAGCTACACTACGTCAGGTCGTGACATCAAACTACTCGCCCCCTCCCCTGCCCCCCCCGTGGCTTTGTTTAATTCGAGACGAGCTCGACACGAGCTGCGCGTCGTCGCTCAAGAGTTCCTTTCTTCATTTCGCATTGAAATCTGTTTCTTTTTTCCTGCCTCAAAAAAATCTCTCCCCCCCCCCCAACTGCTCCCGTCTCCACCCACTAAAGCAAGGGGATGGAGGTGGGGGGGGGTTGGTGGGGGGGTTGGTGGGGAGGTTGGTGGGGGGGGGGTTGGTGGGGTGGTTGGTGGGGGGTACGGGGAAATATTTTTTCCGGATCTCAGCCCCGTACGTCTCCGGCTGAAATCAATCCCTTGGTCGTGGTGGTTTGGCGACATGAACATCGCTTTCCTTTTATGGATCTGCGTGTTTCTTCTTGGGGGAGGGGAGTGGGCAAATGGGGGGGGGGGGGGGTAATGGTTTAGTTTTAAAGTTTCAAATGCACCTCCGATATAGCGCGGTTGACTACGTACACTGCGTAAGAAGTCCAACGTGCACACATGCATGGGTCAAAAGACACGCACACTCGTCATCAGCATCAGCCTCCCTGGACGAAGACCTCCATACGCGACGTTGACCATACTTCACCGCGCTCCGCGCACGTACATGTGTCTTTTAGTCGATCCCACTCTGTAACGCGGCGAAAGCCCACAGTGGGGGACAGCACGGTCGAGCCTTCAGCTGCACGTGTGGCTTTGCCATCTCCACGCACTCCGCTTCTTTCAAAGTCTTCTCCCAAGCACCCAGGGGCTTTGGGAGCCGTGCAAAATCTCTGCGTGATCCACCGACACCCCCCCCCCTCCTCCCCCCCACTTCGCTTTGACCAACACTCGGCGACCGTTCAAAGTAGTGGCCACTGTGGCTAATACGAACGATGCGTGTGGGGGGGGGGGGCTATACCCAGACGCCCCCCCCGCTCCTCCCCAACCCACCCACCCACCCACCCCCACGCGATTGGAATGCGCGGGTTTTGCATAATGGCTCAAGTGCGCACGTATGGGAGGAGGAGGCGGCGGTGCGTCCGCGAGCCCGCGAGTTGCATTCCTGCCCGATGTGACACAGCCCCCCGCCGCCTCCAACCCCCTCCGCGCCGAGCCCGTGGCCTCTTATAAAAGCGTCCGTCCTCCCCGGGGCTCGCAGATCCTCGTTACGCACCCGACAGAGCCGGGGCTTCGAGTGCAAAAGCCCAAAACAAAAAAACGCAAAACAACCGCCCAACCCTCCGCCGAACGAAAAAACCAGAGAGTCGATTTGCAGTGAGCGCCGCTCGTTCTCGACTCGCCTCCTCGCCTCCTCGGGCGCACATCAACAACCGCGTGCTCACGCAACGACGAACGCGCTCCAACTTCTCGCCATGGATGTCCTGCTCAGTCTGCTGCTCGTCATCTCGCTCGCCCAGGCGCTGCCTGCTGCTCAAGGTGAGCATCGCTTACCCTGCAGACGCACATCGCCACTGATGTTGCTGCTGCTTCGATGGTAGTGGGGGGGGGCGGGTTGGGAGATAGGGGGGCACCCCGGCAAATTTAAAGAAAAAATTCGCGAAGCAAAAAAAAAGACATAGGCGACGTTTCGGGCAACGGACCTTCTAATTGTAGCGTTGGCGAACGATGTTGTTGAGCTTGTTATTTGCACGTTGGGAACGGCTTCTTTTTTGGAGCTTTGATCGATCACATTTATTTTGACGCCGAAACTCGCGGTGCTGCCGACGCGCTGCGGTTTTTGCGCGTTCACTCCGCTGCCCGTGGGAGATAATTCACGTGGGGGATGCAATTCCCCAACGCTGTAAACAATTGGCTCTTATCTGGCGCAAGCGGCAATAAACGCCATGCAAATCGCACGTTCAACTTCGTCGCCGACTTTTGGACCCCAATCGAAGCCGCGTCCGTGGCGGAAGGAGTTCATTGGGGTTTTTTTGTTGTTTTTGTATGACTCCAGAAGCCGCGCTGATTCTCACTCAACACTCTCACACAGACTCACACACTCAGAGACTCGCACACTCACACACACGCACAGACTCACACAGACACGCGCACTCACACACACACTGTCACAGACTCACACAGACACGCGCACTCACACACACACACGCTCACATAGACTCACACAGACACGGGCTCTCACAGACGCGCACACCCACAAACACTCTCACACAGACTCACACAGACTCGCACACCCACACACACACACGCTCACACAGACTCACACAGACACGCGCACTCACATACTCTCACACAGACTCACACAGACACGCGCACTCACACACCCTCACACAGACTCACCCACAGACACGCGCACTTCTTACAGACTCACTCATCCTCACCCGTGCGGCTCTCTGCTCGTGTCCACACAGACGGTGCAATCGGCGCCGAACTGGGAACCCCAGACATCGCAGACCCCGCGATGCCGACCTCTTCCCGGGTCGCCTCGGTGGCGCCCGTTGTGCATCGCCGGCAGAAGCGCTGCTCCTGCTCCTCCTACATGGACAAGGAGTGCATCTACTTCTGCCACCTGGACATCATCTGGATTAACACCCCCGAGTGAGTCCCACGGATCTCGCCTTCCTCGCGTGCCTCTTGCAGCCGATTCCGCGACTCGGAACGAGTGGGGGGGTGGGGGGGGGTCGGGGAGGCAGGGACGATGGGGTGGGTAGAGAGTTAGCGAGGTTTCTTCGAAGATCTGGCTGCAGAGAAACGCGCTGCTTCCTCCTTTCCTATCGGCACCCTAAGGTCCTAAACCGGCCCGTAGGTTGTGTATACAGCCGGGAGTTTGTCTACGATAAGGGTTATTGTGATCGCACCGAGGTACCAGCAGCGCTGCGGGTTTCACGGGCGAATGCGCTCACCTGCCAGCGACTGCCGGCTCTCCTCCTTCCCCCCCCCCCCCCCCCCCGTGCCTCCGAGGAGAGTTCTAACCCGTCTCGCCTTCTCTCTCCCTTCGCTGGTTGCCCTCGCAGGAAGGTGGTGCCCTACGGTCTGGCCACGTCTCACCGCGCCAAGCGCGGCGCGCCCGCACAGGGCTCGCCGCGCGTTCGGACGCGGGGCAAGCGGTGCGCGTGTGTGGCGCACGGGCGAGACGACAGCAAGTGCGCAAGCTTCTGCGCCGGCGACGCGGCTCCGCCAGCTCCCAGGTGAGGAGACGGAGAAGAGCGAGCGAGCGATGAGAGAAAGGGTGGAGGAGGAGGTGGGGGGGGGTAGTTGTGTAGCGGTAAGCGCGCTGCGCTACGAACGCGGCGACCCGAGTTCTGTAGCCCGCTCGCGGCCAACACGAGGGACCGGTCCTGGGCCGACTCAGCCTCAAATGAGTACCTGGTGCGATGTGTAAATATCGCCGCTGGGGAGACAAAGGCGGCCGGGCCTGGTGCTGGCCATCCGCCCCGTCGTGTGCTGTACCAGCCTTCATAGGTGCTCGCTAACAGCACTTGCCCCGACAATCTGTCTTTTGAGGGCGTGAGAGAAACGGGAGAGCGCGCACGCATCACGCACGCACACACAACGGAGCCGCGTGTCTCGCAGAGTCTGACCCGCGTACGCGCCCTTCTCTCTCTCTCTCTGTCTGCCTGCACCACCACAGGAGCTCGGAGCCAGCGCGCCTCCACCGCGTCCTGCAACGGCTCCTCGAGGCCACTCGCCGCGGACGCCTGACCGGGCCGGACGGCCCTGCCGCGGACTGCACCACCACCGTGTGTCAGCGATGATGGCCATGAGGACGCGTGCGGCGGAGAGAAAGAGATCGAGCCGAGAGAGCGAATGCCACGAAACCGCGGCCAAGGAAGAAGCAGCGCGCTTTGTCCGCGGAGCGGAGATATCCCCCCCCTACTCCCCCACGAGTCGTTCCCCTCTTTGCGGGACTCGGGGTGGTGGGAGGCAGGGGCAAGGAGTGGCCGAGGAGGAGACGGAGCGCGGAGCGCGACTCTCTCAAGGCCCCGAAGCCACGGCCGAGCCGAGGATTCGACAGGGAAGGAACACTGGAGGCGCGCGGAGGGGGCGCTGAAAGACTGAACGCAACGGGGAGGGAAAGAGCGAGGATTCTGCTGCGAGGAGTTTGCAAAAGGGGGAGGGCGAGAGACGAGTGACTGGAGTGATGAGACTACAGTGGGGAAGCGAGAGCGGGGAAGAGAATGCAACGGAGTTGCTGGAACAGAGAGAAGAGGAACTCTTTACGACGTTGGTGACGCCTCGCCGGCGCTCGGATTATTTCGTCGGTCGCTCTCATCTCAAATTAAAACTTCGAGCAAAACGACGAGGACGCGGTGGCCTGCCGTGGCCACATCATCATCACCACCACTACCACCTCCTCCTCCATCACCACTACTACCATCGCCATCATCACCATCATCTGACGAAGCTCCACCGGCACGATGGGTGGGAGCGATGACGTATATTGATGAATCGATTATTATAAATCGAGTGCTGCGTAGATGTATTGTAACTCACGATTATTCGCGTAAAAAAAACTGTCTCGAGCACCTATCATCTCAATTAAGATTGTCGTCGGCTGGAATTGTACAGTATTATGCGCGTGCGTGTGCGTGCGCGTGCGTGTGTGTGTGCGTGTGCGCGCGTCTGTGTGCCCGTATTTATTTTTTACTGAAGATGCCACTTACGTGAGTTTTGTAAGAAGCAACCGGCGGCTATTGCAGTTGCAGAGTCTAGTAGCACAGAGCACGTGTGTCGGCGTGCGTGTGTCAGCGATGTTATTTATTGTTGTTTTTATTCGGTAACGTATGTCAGTGTAAAAAACAAACATTAACTGATTCGGACCGCTGTTTACTTTTTTTTTTGTTATAGACAAATCGCATTTGCACACTGCTGTAATTATATATTAATTAAGTTATTGCTATTGTGATGAATGTAATTAAAGTTAATTGGTGACCTTTATCTGCACCTGTGCGTGTGATTCACCTGTGTGAGTGTCGCCACGCCCTGGACTTGATGACGCGTTCTCGTCACACACCCACTCATTCTTTGGCAATCTAATTTTCACAGAATCATCATCATCATCATCACTGCTGGATGAAGAACTCATCACCACGTCATCGCGATCCCTCTTATTCCCCGTAATGCCAAAACCCAATCTCACTCCCTCCGATTAGCACGGTTGGCGACGTACGGTGTGAAAGAAGTCCAACATGCATGCACACTCACGACTTCCACTTTTCCGTTTTGCATTGGGTTCCTCACTCGACCCCTCTCCGGTCTCTCTGTGTGACGTGAAAAAGAGCCTTTGCCCGAAACGTCACCAATGAAATACTTTAGTTAATTTTTTCATGACCACAGGATAATTGACGAATGCGTTCCATTTTCTTGCTCTTCTCACACTGAGTGTGTGACACGAGAGCCACGGTGGCTAGATGTTAACTACCTCGCCTGGTCTACAGGAGGTCGTGGCTTCGATCCCGACCCTGACGCCTGCTGTATATTTGGAGTTTGCGTGTCTCTCCCCGTGGTCGCGTGGATTTTTCTCCGGGTCCTCCGGTTTTCCCCTCCACGTTTACAACACAGGTTTTAACAGTATTTGGCTGTTCTACATTTTTAAGTAAGAAGCCACTTCGTTGAGCCATCATTCGTGGCCAGGTCGCTTCTGAAAAAATAGAGCTACGTAGCTCAGTGGGCTTTTATCTGGTAAAAAAAAATTGTTTTGGTAGTGTCGCGCGTGGAACAGCTCTGGGGACAGCGCGTGGGTCACGGCACGTGGGTCACGGCACGTGGGTGACTGCAAGTGAGTGACTGCACGGCATTAAGTGGTGAATAGGGCGGGTACGGCGTCGAGTTTCCAATCGGTGCAGTCTCGGCTCCGTGCAGGGTGTTGTAACAAATCAGCGGATGTGCAAATTTGGGAAATGAATTGGTGTTGCTGCCGCTGTTGCGTTGGCAGATGTGCACAAGCACGATTAATAACAAAAAGTAAACTCGACGCACATTTAAATGAAAAAAGCTTAGAATGGATGACGTTTCGGGTAATGACCCTTCTTCAAAGAACATAGAGAGGGCCAGAGAGGCAGAGTGGATAAGAGTTGGAGATGGTACTTTATATGCCATGGGGCCTGATGAGAATTCAATTGTAAATTTTTCTGATTGACTGGTTTTTTATTTTATTTTTTACATAATATACACTTCGTGATGATGCATTCCTGGATTAAAGTCTCATTTCACAAGAACATGACAATAATGACCACACACGTCCATCATACATACTCTCGTTCCTTTATCACCACACAATGTCATTCATGACGATCATGAGCCATGATCGGTCCGCTGGTGGACGATTCTCTCTCCAAGCAGTCGTCATCTTTCATCGTCATGCGATGCAACAATCCATCTAGATCGGGTCGGCAAACACAATAACAATAAGAGACTTTTTATATTTCCGAATTCGGTAAAACAAGAAAAAAACCCCTCAATATTTCAAGAGCCGCAATGGACGTGGTGACTACGAGACGGCGGGTAGCTAATCAATAACGGTCACGAATCGGCCCTTAAAGAGCCGCATGCTGCTCTGGAGCCGCAGGTTGTCAACTCCTGCCCATAGTAAACTGGGCTCCAATGGTAAACTGGGCTCCCACGGTAAACTGGGCTACCATGGTAAACTGGGCTCCATGGTAAACTGGGCTCCCATGGTAAACTGGGCTACCATGGTAAACTGGGCTACCGTGGTAAACTGGACTCCCATGGTAAACTGGACTCCCATGGTAAACTGGGCTACCATGGTAAATTAAATTCCCATGGTAAACTGGACTCCCATGGTAACAGGGCTCCCGTGGTAAACTGGACTCCCATGGTAACTGGGCTCCCGTGGTAAACTGGACTCCCATGGTAACTGGGCTCCCGTGGTAAACTGGACTCCCATGGTAAACTGTCCTTCAATGGTAAACTGGACTGGCATAGTGAACTGGACTCCCATGGTCAGGGGTGGGTAACCAAAATAACAAGAAGAGCCACTCTTTTCGAATTTGGCGTAAAAACAAAAACAAAATTCCTCAATATTTCAAGAGCCACAATGCAGCCCCAACACAGCCACATGCGGTTCTGCAGCCGCAGGTTTCCGACCCCCTGATCCAGTTGCTTCACGCGAGAGGCGAGCTCAGTCCTCCACCTCCAGTCCACGTCCTCTCAAGCACGCTCTTCCATTTGGCTGGCAATCCTTTGTTACTCTTAGATTTTTTTTCGGTAAAGTCACGTAGGTAAAAAATAAAATTAAAAGTTAATAATGGAAATAAAATTAAATAATAGTGATTTATTAAAATTAAAAGTTAATAATGGAAATAAAATTAAATAATAGTGATTTATTATTTTATTTTATTTCCATTATTAACTTTTAATTTAATTTTTTACCTACGTGACTTTACCGAAAAAACCTAAGAGTATGAATCCTTGCAGTCACGAAAGCTTCAAATCTAGAATCCTTTGTTAGTCTCGACCAGCGGTCACCATCCCGTCTCACGACGCGCCTTGCCCCAAGTCCCCTCACTATTTTGTTATTGACTGCTCAGAACGCACAGATTAAAACCAGGCTAATGAATCCATTAAAGCCTTACAAATCCATTATAAACACAACACGCCAATCAATTCTAACGATGCAGATCCATTGTAACGTCATAGCTCGTGCCACGCTGACGTTAATCACATCGAGAAGGGAGGGGCACTGCATGAAACATCAGCCAGACAAGCACATGTCAGTCAGCAAGCGGAGGCGATGAGGTTTTCATTTTTCGTTTGGCTGCCAATGCTGTCCCTGAATTTCTGAAGACACACACAGACGGGGCATTCTTACATTTTCACCGAATATATTTCGGGTGATAGCACGTGAAGAGTAAACAATAGCCACATGCAATAGCAACATGTATACTCTACGTGATGTGCCGAGTACGGAGATAACTTCTAATAATTAATAATAACTCCGTTTTATATTACAAGGTAAGGCCCACTGAGCTGTCTAGCTCTTTTTCAGAAGTGACCTGGCCACAAATGAAGGCTTAACGAAGTGGATTTTCACGCGGAAATGTACAGCAGCCAAATAATTTGAACGCACGTTGATTTTCCTCTTCTTGGTTCTTTCGGTAAAGTCACGTAGAAGGGAAATAATAAAATAATAAAAATAAAACATAATAAAATACAATTATCACGACGTTTCAGTCACAACGCAAGCAGCCGTCCTCATGTGAAGAACAGGTCTGTCGGAAAGACAGCGTCTGAATGAACACCACCAAGCTTGGCAGCGTATATTTAAGCTGGGTTAGGGGAGGAAGGGCGCCTTGACAAAGGAAGTTGCATATCAACAGAGGAATTTAGCATATTTATGGCAAATGCAGATATGGGATTAGTCACTACTTGTTGATTCTAAAATGTGGAGAGAAAAAACAGGTAGCGCCGGAGGAAAAATCCACGCGACCACGGGGAGAACACGTACACTCCAAATATAGAGCAGGCGTCAGGGTCAGGATCGAACCCACGATCTCCTGTATAGCAGGCGAGGTAGTTAACATCTCGCCACCACGATAGATCAGGATAGTTCTAGATTTGAAGCTTTCGTGACTGCAAGGATTCATATTCTTAGGTTTTTTCGGTAAAGTCACGTAGGTAAAAAATTTAAATAAAATAAAAATCACGACGTTTCGGAGGGAACACAAGCTTCTGTCTTCAGGTGGAACCGTCACAGCATGATAGCTGTATCAAATAAGAGATACAGCTATCGTGCTGTGACGGTTCCACCTGAAGACGGAAGCTTGTGTTGCCTCCGAAACGTCGTGATTTTTATTTTATTTTTATTTTACTTTTATTAATTACTTTTTTTTACCTACGTGACTTTACCGAAAAAAACCTAAGAAAATCAGGATAGATCTAGCTGACACTGAGCCGTGGGCAAGGACAGATGACCTTTTGATTCGATAATTATTTATCACCAGGCGAGAACTCACCAAGGTCAAATGTCTGTCTCCTTTTCAACGGAGACCCTTGGGGGCCACGCGATCGTTTTGATGATCACGAGTTGACGCCTCATCGAGCATTCACGGACTCCGTTAGCGAGCCTCGTCTCAACTCCACTCCTCCACACCGACCACCGCGCGAAAGTGGCATTCGCTGGTCCTCAGTGAACGCGTCCCCATCATGCGTGCCACCGATTTACGTGGAAATTGGAAAGCATTCGCGTCCAAATGAGCGACTCCGCGTGACCCCCCCCCCCCCCCCCCCAATGATAGGGATCGAGATGATAAACTTAGTGGGTGTCGGGGGGGGTGTTACCTGCCCCCCACCATCACAACTAAAGAGACCCCCCCCCCCGAAGTTTGCTGGGATGGTTAGAGACATTTAATGAAGCGCGTGGGTTGATACGCATCACAGGCGCGAACCTCCGATCAGCATGGTTGGCTACGTACGGTGCGAAAGAAGTTCAACGTACATACAATAGGCAAACAAAATATTGTCAAATAAAAAATAACAAAAATATATTTACTCATCATCATCAGCCTGCCTGGATGAAGACCTCCACAGATCGACACTGATCATAACCTCACCGTGCTGTGAGATTGTGGTGTCAACGAGAGAGGCTCTTGCAACTATCTGTGCGGAGCTTTGATTTTCACTCTCACCCGCCCTCGTACGTGCGGCGATCTCTGCGCCAAGCACTCGGTTGTTGTTGTTGTTGTTGTTTTTTCTCTCCCTCCGACACGAAGCGAAACGGGCCAAACGTCACAACGTGAGCAGGGACCCCTCGCTAAACGAAACGAAGTGTCGGGAAACTCGGTGAGGTTTGTCCGGGTAAACAAGAGGCATTGTTTAGAATTATTCAACCATTTCTTTGCACTGCAAGTGAGGGTCTGTTCGGGAAGAGGCTGGCACGCATCCTGGCCAGCATTGCGTCCCGAGAGAACGCGAGAGGA